GTACCTGGCACCCTTGTCCTTGGCCTCGAATCTTCTTTGAAATGTCACCTCATCACAGAGGCCTTCCCTTATCTCTCTTTCCAAAGTGCCTATGTTTTTCTCTTACCTCAGCCTGATCTATCCCCTCAAAGCATGTATCATATTTCCTGGTTGGTCTGTTTACTTGTTTTTTTGCCAGTCTTTCTCATTAAACTAAAAGCTTGGAGAAAGCAGGCACCATCTCCGTAATGCCTGTCTTCTAGCCTAGTGCCAACAAAGGTCTGTCTAGTCAAGGCTATGGTTTTTCCAGTAGTCATGTACGGATGTGAGAGTTCGACCATAAAGAGAGCTGAGTGCCGAAGAATTGATGCTTTTGAGCTGTGGTGTTGGAGGAGACTCTTGAGAGTCCCTTGGACTGTAAGGAGATCAAACCAGTCCATCCTAAAGGCGATCAGTCCTGGGTGTTCTTTGGAAGGACTGATGCTGAAGCTGAAGCTCCAATACTTTGGCCACCTGAAGTGAAGAGCTGACTCATTGGAAAAGACCCTGATGCTGGGAAAGATTGAGGGCAGGAGAAGGGGACGACAGAGGATGAGATAGTTGGATGGCATCACCGACTTGATGGATGTGAGTTTGGGCAAGCTCCGGGAGATGGTGATGGACAGGGAGGCCTGGCGTGCTGCAGTCCATGGGGTTGCAAAGAGTCAGACATGACTGAGCAACTGAACTGAGCTTAGTGCCTGACATGCGTGGGTGAGCTGCAAAAGAAAGTTCTGATTTACTCCGTGGGGAGAATTGATGAGATGAAATGGCTGAGATAAGACTTCCCAAGTTGGGGAGAGAAGTGTGTGAGAGCTCAGAGAAGGGAAATACTTTTATCTAGGTCCTGTTATGTTCGGGCCTTGTGCTAAGCACTTCCACACATGTTGTTTCACTTCCCTAGTGATCCCTTTCTTAGAGATGTAAGCAGGCTCAGAAAGCTCGAGGGCTGCTCCACGCTGACGCGGCTGGGAGGCAGAGGGCAGGCATTCCAGGCGTGGCTGCAGCTCCAAGCGCTGTCTCGGAACCACAGGCTCAGGTGTCCACAGGACCAGGTGGTGGAGGAGGAGGGCGAGGCAGGGGTCCGGGCAGCCAGCTAAAGGGGCAGCCCCGCCCACCCCGCTGGCACCCGCGGAACTGGGCCCAGGACGGCCAGAGCTGCTGGTTTGTCAAAAAGAGCTCTGTGCGTGTGTGTGTGCACACGCCTGCACATGGGTGGTCATTTGTGTCCGACTCTTTGTGAGGCCATGGATGGATAGCCCACCAGGCTCCTCTGTCCATGAGATTTTCCAGGCAAGACTACTGGAGTGGGCTGCCATGCCCTCCTCCAGAGAATCTTCCGAATCCAGGAATTGAGCCCACGATTCTTTACCCGTCGGCCACCAGGAAAGCCAGAAGAGCAGTAAACAGGATTTTTATGGGAAATATCCCAGTTTTAAATGTCATCGATCGGGTTTTGGTTTTTTACTGTAAAGTTTGGAGAAATGAAACGTGTCACCTCACGACTACCTTTCTGCCTTCAAGCTCTTTTTTCCAGTAGAAGCGATGGGCCCCGTCTGGCTGAGACAGAGAGGGTGAACAGACGGAAACGGCAGCATGGCAGGGCGTCGCTGAGGGCCTTTTGGCTTAGAACGGGGGGCTCCGGGCTGGTAGAGTTGCAGTCGGCCCTGCTCTGACAGGGCTGCACATCCCCAGCAGTGCGCCCTGTGCAGAGTGAGCGGCGAGAGCCACACAGGGCTAACGGGACGAGATGGCGTGAGCCGCACGACACGCAGGCGCTGTTGCGGACACTAAAAGCAGGCGTGGACTGAATGTAAACTGCCACGTTACATGTGTCAGCAGTTAGGGATACATGTGACTCCAGGACATGTGGCGTTTCTCCTTGGAGGAGACCTGGAGCTTGTTTATGGAGGGTGCGGGGACGGGGGTTCCTGTGCCTGGCGCTGGCTTCTCGCACGCCACTCGCTTCAGTGGGAGGCATTTTGTGTTCACCTGGTGTTTCTCATTGAACAGAGCATAGTAAACAAGCTCACGATTCACATTAGACTCAAATTGTTCTCTAATGTATCAATCCATGGACTATGCAGTCCTTGGAATTCTCCAGGCCAGAACACTGGAGTGGGTAGCCTTTCCCTTCTCCAGGAGATCTTCCCAACCCAGGGGTAGAACCCAGGTCGCCCACATTGCAGGCTATTCTTTACCGGCTGAGCCAGCAGGGAAGCAGTGTATCTGTCACGTTGGAACAAAAGCAGTTTTCACAACCAGCATTAAAGCAGCACTGATAGTCACCAGGCTGTGGAAGGCCTTACCCTTAAGAGTCAGAACAACGTCCCTTGTTCCAGTACTCCCCCAAACACTCCCTGCCCCGTCCGCAGCCTGTTACAGAGTTGGCAGGTTGGGAGTCTGAATATTTGTTCCAAGTAAAGAAATTAAAGTTTGCCTCTTAGGTGTGTTTCCTGGGGCTGCTGCAGCAGATGCCAACAAACTGAGTTGCTTAAAACAACAGAAGTGTGTTCCTCTCACAGTTCTGGGGGCCAGAAGCCTGGACTCCCGGTGTCGGCCGGGCTGGGCTCTGTCTTAAGGTTCTAGGGGAGCATCTCTGCTTGCAGCCCGGTCACCCGCATCTGCCTCTGTCGGCATGTGCCGCCTTGGAAAGGGCAGCGCAGTGTGCTGTCACTTGAAGTTGACGACGTTCGCAGAGGCTGTTCCATTAGGTCACCGTGTGAGCCCTGGGGGCAGGGCTGAGACATCTTTTTGAGGGGACGTGATTCTCCCCGCCACACCTCTCTCCTGCACAGGAGACCTAATCTTTGGCTACGTCCTCTCAGTTTGATGTCTCAGTCTCATTACGGAGTCTGCCTGCCCGTGTCTGCTAGCGAGGCCTCTCAGCCTTATGGTCACTGTTAGGTCCCAGAACACCTCAGGAAGAAAGGGAGAGCTGATAGGCGTGAAGCGGAGGTCAGACCTCTGACTCCCAGGTCTCCAGGCGAGGGGAGGGCCTTTCGAAGGCCGTGCAGCTTCCCTCCTCACGAAGGAGGCAGGCGGCCTCCGTGGGCCTCCGGGACATGCTGTCTCACCCATTCCAGCTCTCTGTCTCCTGTGGGCCTGCTCCGGGGGCCCGGCACGCCGCGGGTGGTCACGGTGAGTGCGCGGCTTCAGGCACCGAGGGCCTTGGCTCCTCATCGGGAGTGACGTGTGCTGGGCTCCGGTCCACTCCTCCTTCCCCATGGCGTGTTCTGCTCGTTCCCCTGCCATTTGGTCTCCTGCGTGGCTACTGAATGTGAGTCAGCTGCGCGGTCGCTCTGCCCTCCCGCAGGGAGCTCCCCGCCGGGCTCCCGTCTCCATCCTCAGGACCGGGAGCAGTCAGCGAGCAGCTGCGCAGTAAACACGCGTTAAGCGACTGACGGTCCTTGCCTGTGTCGTTTTCTTCGGCGCCTGCCAGCGTTGTCTCGTTTTCTGTACTGGGCGTTGGCAGAGCTGTTCTGCAGGACTCTGTGCGTTTGCTGTCGGAACCTGGGGATGCCGTGTCCCGAAGCAGTTCTGCCAGGAGGGGGCACAGACCCGTCTGTAGATGCGCTCCAGGGCACTGGGGTCCCCCAGAGACACCACACATCTGCCCGGCCCAGGGCCCAGCGCAAGTGCCCCAGGAGTCCTGTCTGCTGGGAAGGCCTGTTGGGGTCCTTAGGGAGAGAGCGGGCAGTGCTCCAGGCCAGGCGCCTGGCCTGGAAGAGAGTCAGGAAGGGGCTGGGACAGCTTCCGAGAACATCGGAGCAGGAGGAAGAGAAGTTGCTCTTCCCGCAGCAGCTGATTAGTCATGGCTAGTGCACTGGGGCAGGGACGCAGCGAAGAGGCCCCTTCTGGCGGGGGGCTCCTAAGCAGTGGGCGTCCCCGGAGAGCCAGGCTCAGGGGTCGGCTCCAGGGCTGCTGCGGCCTCGTTCACGGCCTCTCTGCGGTGCCGCCCCGGGGGTGCAGCCCCCGGTCAGGTGTCATGTCTGTGCTTGAGGACCTCTGAGTCAGGATGGGGGGAAGCTGGGGTATCAGCAAGGAATCCAAGGCGGGCATTTACAGGGCCTGCCCTTCAGAGGCCGCCCTTCTTTAAAGCAGCCTTTGTCAGCTTGGGGTTCAGAAACTCAGGGGAGGGCATTCCCTGCTCATCCAGTGGTTTGGGCGCCATGGTTCCAGTGCAGGGTGCCTGGGTTCCATCCCTGGTCGGGGAGCTAACCCCACGTACCAGGCAGCACGGCCAGCAAACAAGAGCTAGGGCTGCTCCCATTTCTCTGCTTGCCTAGAGCAAGGAGATGCACACATCCATACATGCAGGATCCATGATGCATGGACACGTGTGCCTGCTTAACTCTCTCTATATGTATGTATGTGTATGTATGTATGTGTGTAAGCTACCATCTCTCTCTATTATTGTCTCCATTTCATTTGTAACACAAGGGGCCTTTCTTGGTCCAGTGTTACTGAAACGTTATTGATACGCAGCACTGTTCTGAGTGTAGAACATAGTAACTTGGATACACTGTAAAGTGATGGCCACAGAACCTTTAGTGAAATTCACCATCTCATACAGATACAGAGAAAAGATAAAGGAAAACAATGTTTGCTTTCCTCCTGATGAGAACTGGGGATCTGGTCCCCAAACTGCTCTCATGCGCACGGTACAGCAGAGTTGACCACAGTCACAAGCCGTGTGTCACGCCCCCAGGACTGACCCCGTCACTGACGTCTGTGCCTCTGGAGCGCCTTCATGCAGTTTCCCTTCCCCTCATTCTGAAGAACATTGTGATTGTAAAAGCAGTGGGGATGATAACACCCTGGGATGACACGGTTTTGTGAAAAGTGGACTCTGGAAAGCTCCCTGTTGGCTGCTCTGTCTCCGGCACTGGTGAGCCCGTCCTGGACCAGCCGACTCCAGGCTGGTGCTGGCAGCCGCTGCCCGTGCCCCGTGAGAGCCCCCTCCGTGTTATGTCTTGTAGATCGTGACCGACCAGCAGACGGGACAGAAGATCCAGATCGTCACCGCGGTGGACGCCTCCGGATCCCCCAAGCAGCAGTTCATCCTGACCAGCCCCGATGGAGCTGGAACTGGGAAGGTGATCCTGGCTTCCCCGGAGACCTCCAGTGCCAAGCAGCTCATATTCACTACCTCGGACAACCTCGTCCCTGGCAGAATCCAAGTAAGACCCGTTGACAGGCGTTTATCTCAGCATTTCTGCTCCCACGCTGTTCTGGACTCTCCCCTCTTATTCTGGAGGCCAGCTCCGTCTCTGGAGGTCCTTTGGGGCTTGCAGCCATGGTGGGTTGCTGCCTTGGCTCAAGTGAAAACCAGCAGGTGAGGGGCAAGGCCCAGAAGGCAGCCGCTGCAGTGCCCAAGGAGGGCGGAGACGGAGACCGACTGAGAGGTCAGCGTGGCCCCCAGAGGACTGTCTCCGCAAGGCTGACTGCGCCCGGCGAGGGCCGGCTGGCTCTGACCCTCCTCGGCTGGGCCAGCCCCCTGTCTGTCCTTGCTCCTGTGGGCTGCCTCTGGTCTCTGTCCCTGCCCTGCTCCGCCCTCAGAGGGCAAGGTGGGGTCTGGGCGGTGCAGGAAGGGCAGGCGCACCAGCTGGCAGAAAAGCAGGCTTACTGGGACGCGCTGAGCCTCCAGGCCCAGCCCCTGGGGGAGCAGGCGCTTGAGGCCAGGGTCCCGCGTTGGCCAGGCACAGGGCGCCTGCAGGCCGCGGTCTCGTTTGGTTCTGCTTTCTAATTAAAAAAAAAAGAAAAAATTGTGGTAACATGTGAACTTCACTGCCTTAATCAGTTTTAAGTGTCCAGTTTAGTGTATTGACGTCGGCGTTAAGTGTATTGACAATTGTTTTGCAGCGTGCCCCCGCCCTGGTCCATCCACAGAATGGATCCTCCATCCTCCCCAACCAAAGCTCTGTAGCCACTAAACACCTCCTGTTCCCACCCTTCCCCAGCCCCTGGCCACCACTCCTCTGCTTTCTGTGGGTCTGACGACTCTAGGGACCTCACATAAGTAGACTCCTGTGATATTTGTCCTTCTGTGACTGGCTAATTCCACTGAGCCCAGTATCCTCACAGTTCATCTGTGTGGTCACATGTATCAGGATTCTTTCCTTCTAAAGTTGAATGATATTCCACTCTGTGGATGATGGACCACGCATGGGTTATCCATTCATCTGTTGATGGATACTGGGGTTGCTTCGACCTTGAGACTACTGTGAACAGTGCCGCTAAGAATCCATGTGTTTTGAAGGGGGCATTCTGCTATGGAGAAAAGCCAGGAGGAGAGGGTTTGTTGCCTTCTCACGCTGTGTTCAGAACACCAGTGTGCCCAGCTTTCAGAGCTGTACTTTGAGACACTGCCTGATGGACCCAGTGAGTGTCTCCCCATCCTTCCCTTCCCAGCTTCCATTGTCATCACCTGAAGTCTGAATTCCTCCCCGCTTGCTTAGATTCCTCGCTGATGAGAGGATGGCTGTGATTCTTGCTTCTCTTAAAAGAGGTCATCCCGCCTAATGACTCCTGTGTGCTGTCACTTCTTAGACCACTTTAAGGCTTATTGATGGTGCTGCTTGTTCAGTCACTCAGTCGTGTCCAACTCTTTGCCACCCCATGGACTGCAGCACGCCAGGCTTCCCTGCCCTTCACTGTCTCCTGAAATTTGCTTAAATTCATGTCTATTGAGTCAGTGATGCCATCCAGCCATCTCATTGTCTGCTGCCTGCTTCTTCTTTTGCCTTCAGTCATTCCCAGCATCAGGGTCTTTCCCAGTGAGTCAGCTCTTCACATCAGGTGGCCTAAGTATTGGACCTTCAGCAGCCGTCCTTCCTGTGAATATTCAGAGTTGACTGATTTCCTTTGGGATTGACTAGTTTGATCTCCTTATGGTCAAAGGGACTCAAGAGTCTTCTCCAACACCACAATTCAAAAGCATCGATTCTTCGGCGCTCAGCCTTCTTTATGGTCCAGCTCTCTCGTATCTGTATGTTACTACTGGAAAGACCATGGCTTTGACTGCACAGACCTTTGTTGGCAAAGTGATGTCTGTGCTTTTTAATACACTGTCTAGGTTTGTCATACCTTTCCTTCCAAGGAGAGAGCATCCTTTAATTTAATGGTTGCAGTACTGTCCGCAGTGATTTTTGTAGCCCAAGAAAATAAAATCTATCACTGTTTCCACTTTTCCCCTTTCTATTTGCCATGAAATGATGGGACCTAATGTCGTCATATTAGTTTTTTGAATGTTGAGTTTAATTTAAGCCAGCTTTTCACTCTGTTCTTTCACCTTCATCAAGAGGCTCTTTGGGTCCTCTTTACTTTCTGCCATTAGAGTGGTGTCATCTGCTTATCTGAGGTTGTTGATATTTCTCCCAGCAATCTTGATTCCAGCTTGTGATTTATTCAACCCGGCCTTTCACATGATGTACTCTGCATGTAAGTTAAATAAGCAGGATGATAATATACAGCCTTGTTGTACTTCTTTCCCAATTTTGAACCAGTCAGTTATTACTTCTACTGTATAATCATAAGGGATTTGATTTAAGTCATATCTGAATGGCCCAGTGGTTTCCCCTACTTTCAATTAAAACCTGAATTTTGCAATAAGGAGTTCATGATCTGAGCAACAGTCAGCTCCAGGTCTTGTTTTTGCTAACTGCTTATAGTTTCTCCATCTTTGGCTGCAAAGAATTTCAGTCTGATTTTGGTACTGACCACTTGGTGAGGTTTATGTGCTGTTGAAGAGGGTATTTGCTCTGACCAATGTGTTCTCTTGGAAACACTCTGTGAGCCTTTGCCCTGCTTCATTCTGTACTCCAAGGCCAAACTTGCTGTTACTCCAGGTATCTCTTGACTTCCTACTTTTGCGTTCCAGTCCCCTGTGATGAAAAGCACATCTCTTTGGTGTTTGTTCTAGAAGGTCTTTATGGAACAGGTCAACTTCAGCTTCGGCATCAGTGGTTGGGGCATAGACTTAGGTTGCTGTGACGTTAAATGGTTTGCTTTGGAAATGAACTGAGATTTTCTCTTAATTTTGAGGTTGCATCCAAGTACTGCATTTCAGACTCTTGTTGACTATGATGGCTACTCCATTTCTTCTAACAGATTCTTGACCACAGTAGTAGATACAATGGTCATCTGAATTAAATTCTCCCATTCCTGTCCATTTTAGTTCACTAATTCCTAAGATGTTGGTGCTTACTCTTGCCATCTCCTGCTTGGCCACATCCAATTTACCTTGATTCATAGACCTAACATTCCAGGTTCCTGTGCCATGTTGTTCTTTTATAGCATCAGACTTTTACTACCAGACACATCCACAGCTGAGCGTTGTTTCCACTTTGGCCCAGCCACTTCATTCTTTCTGGAGCTATTAGTAATTGCCCTCCACTCTTACCCCAGTAGCATATTGGACACTTTCTGACCGGGGGGGCTAATCTTCCAGCATCATATCTTTCTACCTTTTCATACTGTTTGTGTTTGGGGAGCTCGCATGGCAAAAATACTGGAGTGGTTTGCCATTCCCTCCTCCAGTGGACCATATTTTGTCTCCACTCTGACCCGTCCATCTTGGGTGAACCTGCGTGGCACAGCTCATAGCTTCATTGAGTTACACAATCCCCTTGGCCTCGACTAGGCTGTGACCCACATCATTTCACAGCAGCTGCTGTTCACTCTTCCATGTGCCTTTTTCATTTCAGTCACGCTAGTCTTTCCGATGGAGAGCACTGTGGGTCATGTAGAAAGTCACCTACAAAGGAAGGAGAAATAGGTTTCAGAGGTTCCCTGTCCTAGTCCCTCCACTTCCAGAGCCTCACGAGAGAGCTAGTTGTTTAATCAGTAAGGCTTAATTATTTTTCTGCTAAATGTACTAGTCTGAATTCCAAGCTGTTTTATGAAAGTAGAGAAGCAGCCAGAGAGACCTCCTTTGTCCTCACGGTTGGAGCAGCTGCATGGGACTCCTCCACGGCCCCGGGTCTTGGTGGTGGTAGCAGGTTGGAGGGTGGGTCATTGAGATGCAGCGTCTGACCCCGGGCAGCCCCACACCCACCCCCGCCACTGCTGAAGGGCGTGGGCCAGAGGCACAGCCTCCCATTCCTGCTGGCAGATGAGGTTGTCAAGTGGGATTTTCCCAGTTCTGCCCAGAGTTGTTCTTAGAACAGAGATTAGGAATTCACATTTGAGCCTGACTTGGCTTCTTGCTCTGGTTTTTCATCATCTTCAGTTCAGTCTCTCAGTCGTGTCGACTCTGTGACCCCATGGACTGCAGATGGCAGGCCTCCCTGTCCATCACCAACTCCCAGAGCTTTCTTAAACTCATGTCCATCAAGTCAGTGATGCCATCTAACCATCTCATCCTCTGTCGTCCCCTTCTCCTCTGCCTTCAATCTTTCCCAACATCAGGGTCTTTTCCAGTGAGTCAGTTCTTCACATCAGGTGGTCAAAGTATTGGAGTTTCAGCTTCAGCATCAGTCCTTCCAATGAATATTCAGGACTGATTTCCTTTAGGATGGACTGGTTGGATCTCCTTCCAGCCCAAGGGACTCTCAAGAATCTTCTCCAACACCACAGTTCAAAAGTATCTCTATTCTTCAGCGCTCGACTTTCTTTATAGTCCAACTCTCACATCCATACATGACTACTGGAAAAACCATAGCTTTGACTAGATAGACCTTTGTCGGCAGAGTAATGTAATATCTCTGCTTTTTAATATGCTGTCTAGGTTGGTCATAACTTTTCTTCCAAGGAGCAAGTGTCTTAATTTCATGGCTGCTGTCACCATCAGCAGTGATTTTGGAGCCCAAGAAAAGAAAGTCTATCAACTGTTCCCACTGTTTTCCCATCTATTTGTCATGAAGTGATGGGACCAGATGCCATGATCTTTCATGAATGTTTTCTGAATGTAGAGTTTTAAACCAACTTTTTCACTCCTCTTTCACCTTCAAGAGGCTCTTTAGTTCTTCTTCGCTTTCTGCCATAAGGTTGGTGTCATTTGCGTATTTGAGGTTATTGAGATTTCTCCCAGAAGTCTTGATTCCAGCTGTGCTTCACCCAGCCCAGCATTTCACATGATGTACACTACATATAAGTTAAATAAGCAGGGTGACAATATACAGCCTTGATGTACTCCTTTCCCAAGTTGGAACCGGTCTGTTGTTACATATCCAGTTTAAATTCTTGCTTCTTGACCTGCATACAGATTTCTCAGGAGGCAGGTCTGGTGGTCTGGTATTCACATCTCTTTAAATTTTCCACAGTTTTTTGTGATCCACACAGTCAAAGGCTTTGGCATAGTCAGTAAAGCAGAAGTAGATTTTTTTCTGGAACTTTCTTGCTTTTTCAGTGATCCAGCAGATGTTGGCAATTTGATCTCTGGTTTCTCTGCCTTTTCTAAATCCAGCTTGAACATCTGGAAGTTCACGGTTCACCTACTGTTGAAGCCTGGCTTGGAGAATTTTGAGCATTACTTTGCTAGCATGTGAGATGAGTGCAATTGTGCGGTAGTTTGAGCATTCTTTGGTGTTGCCTTTCTTTGGGATTGGAATGAAAACTGACCTTTTCCAGTCTTGTGGCCACTGCTGAGTTTTCCAAATTTGCTGGCATATTGAGTGCAGCACTTTCACAGCATCATCTCTCAGGATTTGAAATAGCTCAACTGGAATTCCATCACCTCCACTAGCTTTGTTCGTAGTGATGCTTCCTAAGGCCCACTTGACTTCACATTCCAGATGTCTGGCTCTAGGTGAGTGATCACACCATTGTGGTTATCTGGGTCATGAAGATCTTTTTTGTACTGTTCTTCTGTGTATTCATCGTGTTATTTCCCGTTTATTCTTAGATTGTCACGGACTCTGCTTCTGTGGAGCGTTTGCTGGGGAAGACCGACGTCCAGAGGCCCCAGGTGGTAGAGTACTGTGTGGTGTGCGGCGACAAAGCCTCAGGTAAGTAAGCGGTGGTCAAGCTGGGTGCCCCTTGGGGGCCGACATCACGACCAGATCCGGGCAGGGGGGTGGGGGTGGGGTCAAAATGTGACTGTACTTTTCTTTATTGGAATGATGATGTCCACAAGCAGATCAGGTTGTCAGATTATAGGAATCAAAAGGAAAAGTCAAGAAACTGTGTCTGTGATTTGTAAATCATGGTTGAATGTTGATTATCTTTGTACTAGTAAGAAGGTAATCAAGACTTCCCTCACGGTCCAATGATTAAAACCATGCTTCCACTGGGTTTGATCTCTGGTTAGAGAACTAAGATCCCACATACCTTATGTGCCCCCCCAAAAAGTAATCAGTCATGAGCGTAGTTAGCATCTGTCCAGGGCTTTGCTGTTTCACAGGATGTGTCTGCTGTCCGTCCTCCCTGGTCCTCACGGGAGCTCCGTCTCTCATGCCCTCACTGTCACCCAGGTGATAAACAGGAGGGAACACGCCCTTACAGCTGGAGTCCCAGGTCAGGAAAGGCTTGGAGTCACATTCGTGACCTCGGTGGTTGAGCATGTGCTGTCGGATAAAGAAAAGGGGGCTCCAGCTGGCGGCCCGGCCCGCGGAGCATAACGCGCACAGCCCCCATGTCTCTGGGGACACACTCCTGGCCTCCGTGGTCGGGAGGGGATGAGGGGACTTCAAAAGAGGCCTGGCCCCGGCGGGAGCCGTCGAGGGTAATGATGCCGGAGACACTGACCTATGCTCTGTGGTCACTGCATTCTTAGCAGCTTGGGTACTTGGTAGTCCTGGTTTGCAAAAAACCAGGTGGGCCAAGCCTCTGAAGAGGAAGACGAGCCCCGGTCAGGAAAGTCAGCTCCAACCTTGCCTGCGCCTGCCACAGCGCTCTCCCTTCTCTGAGCCTTTGTCCTCTCGCCCTTGTGTTCAGACCTCTGGGCACTGGATGTGCTCTTTTCTAGTCACTTCCTGACAGGCCTGTCTGAGCCCTGCATCTCTGTATCCCCATCTTCTTGCTCAGCAAGGAGAGACACTGGAAAGATTTGAGTAAATGAATGAAGCTTCAGCATGCCAGAAGCCACAGAATCTGCTCAGCGTCCCCCTTCTGGGCTTAAAGCTCACCACAGGCTTGCAGTGCCTTTGTCTCCAGATATGAGAGGTCACTCTACGGCCTCGAGAGCCCGAGGAAATCCACTGCAGGGAAGAGAAAATGATATGTGCAGAGTCAGTTCAGCACCACTGTTGTCAGAGGCCCACAGTTGGGGCCCCCAGCTGCACGGCTGGAGCAGGGCCCCACACGTCAGAGCTCAGGGTGGTGGGTTGCTCTGCAGCTGCTGTCCCCAGTGACCGCTGGCCTGCAGTGTAGTCGTGACCCTGGGTTACAGGGGAGCGCGCCCGAGTCCGTCCCCGCTGGGGCTGTGAGGACAGGTGAACTGACGGGACCCTTTCATGTGGGAGGGAGTCAGAATTCAGAGACCGCAGAGTAAACAAGCTCAGAATAAAGAGCTGTGTTCGGGGCGTGTGTCTCGAGGACTGGGGACCCCCGTGAGCCACAGGCATGGTGGCCTTCCTGGGGCCTGGCCGCGCGGTCACAGCCCCCACGCCGCATCCTCCGGTCACGCCCCCGCCCCCAGGTCCGTCTACAGCCAGGACGGGACTCACAGAGGCAGTGAATGTGGGCCGAGACCCCGGGGGCTGAGGAAGCACGGGCTGCCGTCAGCTCCGCGGCTCCCGGCAGGACAGGGCAGCTGAGGGCTTCCCAGCCGGGCCACCCGCCCGGCCCTCTCCATGGGCCCTGGCAGGTGCTGAGCTCGGCCACGCCGTCTGCCAGTGCCACGTACCGTGTCTGGGCTTGCGGCCTCCGTCATGGCCTCGCTGGCCCCTCCGAAGGTGGGAGGAGAGCGTGTAGGCCCAGGGGCCCGCGTAGTGCTCGGGCCCGCGGTTGGCCTGTGAGTGCCAGCGCGGAAGCCCCCACACACCAGGCCCACAGACATGCCTTCCTCTTTCAGGCCGCCACTATGGGGCTGTCAGCTGTGAAGGCTGCAAAGGTTTCTTCAAAAGGAGCGTGAGGAAAAACCTGACCTACAGCTGCCGGAGCAGCCAAGACTGCATCATCAACAAACACCACCGGAACCGCTGCCAGTTTTGCCGGCTGAAGAAGTGCTTGGAGATGGGCATGAAGATGGAGTGTGAGTAACAGGGCTCACACCCACAAGCGTAACAAGAGGGGAGAACGGGAGGTCCTGGAGCGTGGCCTTAAAATATACCAAGGAGACTGTGTCCGCCGGCTTCGTTCAGGTTCACCCTCTGGGCCGGCTCGGTGATGTGGTGACGCCGCCGCTGGGCAGGGTCAGTTTCCACACTGAAAACTCGTCCCGACACGCGGGAGCCAGCGTGTGTGTGGGGAGCAGACACAGGCTTTGGGGTGAAGCCGAGAGGACGCAGCCCCAGCCCTGCCCCGGGCGCTGGGGGACCTGGGCACGGCACGTGGCCTCTGAGCCTCCGGTCCCGCCTGTGAAGTAGCACGCTTGTCCTGCCGCGCCTGGCTCCCCTCTCTCTCCCCGTGGAGGCCTGTTCTCTGCTGGTTTCTGGCATGTGTATGTGCACTCGCGCCAGACGCCGAAGGGAGAGGCTGCTGATGTGACCTCCGCCCCGGCGGCATGGGCAGCTCTGTGGGGCCCACTTGAGGGGCTGTTTCTCCCCCGGGAGAGAGTCCCGTGTGCAGCCAGAGTCCCCAGTGGAAGCTGGGCCAGGCATGTCTGCCGTGGAGCTTAGCACCCCCACAGCAGCGGGCTCGGTCGAGGGGACCCCCCCTCCCCCCAGAGGGCGTGGCTTTTATTGGTGTGGCTCTTTCCTCTCAACATGGGTGTCTCTGTTGTCACTTAAGCTGTGCAGAGTGAACGGAAACCCTTTGACGTGCAGCGGGAGAAACCAAGCAATTGTGCTGCGTCCACCGAGAAGATCTACATCCGGAAGGACCTGCGGAGTCCTCTGATAGCTACGCCGACGTTCGTGGCCGAGAAGGACGGGGCAAGGTCAGTGCCTGGGGCCCCTGGCGCTGACAACGGGAGGCGCCGGTGCCCCCTGTGGGGGGCTGACAGCCCGCCTACAGGTGTCGGCCCACCTTGTTGGAGCCGCTGCGGTCACAGCCCTGGACAGGCCCGCAGAGGCTGGACTCAGGATGTGGTCAGAGCTTCCTGTCTCAGGGGCTCGGATTACGTGCTGTAGTTCAGGTATCATCCACGCAGGAAAACGGTTGCTCCATGAGTCAGGACCGGGGCTCTGGCAGTAGAGATAAAAGGCCTGAGACCCAGGTGTGGTCTGGACAGTGCCGGGGGTCAGTTTATTCACTGTATTTAACGTGATCTCTCAAACCTCACAGTAGAGAAGCAGAGGGAAACGGGAAGCCCTGTTTTGTGCTGTGGCGAGCCCCAGAGCTGGGCCTGCCCTGCTGGTGCTCCGAGATCAGGCAGCATCACTGGTAGAGCCAGGGAGGCGCATCTGCATCCTGTCTTGGGCAGGCCCAGCTCCGAGCGCGTCTCCTTGCAGAGCAGGGCTGGCGGCTCGCTGGGCGCCGAGCAGGTGAGCGCGTCCTCTGGCCCGGCCCCGCAGACGCGCAGGGTCGATGCAGCGTGAACTCTGCACTAAACGCTGGAAGCTACTCTGGGTTTCTTTATGTCTTAACTAGACAAACAGGTCTTCTTGATCCAGGGATGCTTGTGAACATCCAGCAGCCTCTGATCCGTGAGGACGGAACGGTTCTCCTGGCCACGGACTGCAAGGTGACGTCCCGCTCGCGCCCTTCCCGCCCTCTGTCTCCACGTGCGCGCTTCTCTGATGCCAGCAGCCGCTGGCGGGTGGAGGGTGTGCCCTCCCCACCTCCGTGTCCTTGGGACAGCCGTGTTGTGACGGGCCAGCCGGCAGGGCGGGCTGCTCACGGGCACAGCACGTCAGCAGCTAGAGTTCGACCTGGTGAACGTTCTGCGGTTCTCTTTTCTTCTGAGGTTTCTCCCCCGGTAATGCACTTGGGCAGGCTGCTGGCAGGCTGAGGAGGCGCTGCCTCTCCTAGGATGGCCTTTGGCGCAGCCCCTGGTTCCGCTGTAGTAGGTGACCGCAGGAAGAAGTCCCGCCAGGGTTCTGACGGCTCTGACAGGGACAGAGCGAGGCAGCTCCAGGGAACCCAGTTTGCAGACAGAGACACGGGCAGCCTCCTATGGAGGACGCTGAGGAGAGGGCTTTATCCAGGCAAGGGGCCCAGTGTCTCTGACTGCGGTCCCTGTCACGGCCCGGGTGATGGGGCCGGCAGCTGCAGTGAGCCCGAGGGGCGGCTCCAAAAGGAGCCCCGGGGGGACAGGGCTGGCCTCGCTGTCCCCCTCAGAGCTGGAGCTGGGCCCCGGGGCCCCGTCTGCTCGTGCACACACGGTGCATCCCGGGGTGTCCTCCTGGGGCCAGGGGAGGGGAACAAAGGCTGAGAGCCGCTGAGGCCCGATGGCCGAGGGCTGCGCCCCCGTCCCGTGTGCCACCTGCCTGGAGGCCGGGCCAGAGCCGGCGCACAGCAGGCAGGGCTGCCGGGAAGCTCGAGGAGGTCAGTTCTGTGAAGCGTGCAGCGCCCGCTCTGCAACCGCTAGCGGCACGGAGCTGGCTGGGGAGAAGGAGCACAGACAGGCTGGGCGGTCAGAATGAAGTATGCTGGGGACACAGGCGGCGCGCCGCGCCCTTCCTCCCACGCGGGGGCGACAGGGCCGCCCGAGGCTTGTCGGGTGACGGGGCACGCACGGAGCCCTGAAGGCGGCTGTTCTCAGGAGCTGATCGCGGAACTCTTTCCTGTGAGATAATTACACATTCAGAATCATTTACTCTGAGTAAAATACCACCGAGACCATGCTCCCTTCGCGCCCTCCCTCCGCGGGGCTCCGTCCTGCAGGGCAGGTGCGGGCCTGGGTCTTCTTTCCTCAGCCTCCCCTCAGCGTGTCTGTCATGCGCTGTGTTCACACGATGGAGGCCAGCAGATCTGTACTCTGGTACATGGTGGCTCTGTGATTTATTGATCACTTCTCTGTTTATGATCTTTTCTACTGATTCTGGTCTTTCACGTTTATAATCAAGATACAGCAGACATTTTTGTTTATGTACCTTGATTTGTTTATTTATCTATTTTTTGGCTTTCTCTTTTAAAAAATTGAGATATTAATTCCCACACCAGAAAAATTTACCCTTTAAGCATATAATTCGTGGTTTTCAGTATATTAACATAATTGTTACAACCATCCCTACTAATGCTAGAGCATTTTGTCACCCCAGAAAGCAAACCTGAACCCACTAAGCAGTCACTGCCGCTTCTACTCCCAACCCCTGTCAGCCACTCATGTGCTTCTAACTGTGGTTTTCTCAGTGCTGGGCCTTTCATACAAAGGGAGCTGTGTAACACCTGGCCTTTGTGACTGGCTACTTTCTTGTAGTGGAATGTTCTCAAGGTGCATCCCTGTCCTGGCCTGTATCAGTTCTTCATTCCTTCTTGTTCCCAAATAATGTGCCAATAAATAGCTGTATCTTGTGTGGTTTATCCATTCGGCAGCTGATGAAGTTGCATTGTTTCTGCTTTTTGCCTCTTCGGAATGATGCTGCTGTGGACATTGTGTACAAGCTTTTTTGTGTGCATATATTTTAACTTCTCTTACATATGTACCTAGGAATGAAATTTCTGTGGTCATGTAACAACTGTATATTTAGATTTTTGAAGAGCTACCAGACTGTTTTCCACAGCAGCTGCAGCACTTTGTATTCCCACCGCAGTGTGTGAGGACGCCCATCTTCTCCACGTCCTTGCCCGCACTCGATATTCTGTGTCTTTTGACTGTGACCATCCTAGTCGGTGTGATGTGACATCTCATTATAGTTTTTATCTGCATTTTTAACTAGCTTATTTGCTTTTCTATTATTGAGCTATAGGAGTTCTTATAGCTGTTCTGGCTAAAAACCATTATCAGATGTATAATTTGCGAAAAGTTCCTCCCATTTTGTGGGTTGTCTTTTGTGTGGGGGAGGAGAGAAGTTGTCTTTTTACTTTATTGATAATCTTTTGAAACACAAAGGTTTAAACTTTGGTGACATCCAGCTTACCTGGATGTCATTTTATCTGTCACTTTGTTCTGTCATTCTATGTCGTGTGTAGGTTTGTGTAACTACCATCACAATCAAGATACAGGACTGTTTTATCCCCCAAAAGCGCTTCCTCTCACTGCCCATTGTAGTCACACCTCCATAGCAGCTGCTTTTAAAACAAAATTATCCTTTCATTTCTCTGAGAGTCGTGTGTGTGTGTTCCCCTTTAATATCACTGTTTTCCGGTTAACAGGCTGAAACAAGCCAGGGCGCCCTGGGCACATTGGCCAACGTCGTCACTTCCCTCGCGAACCTCAGTGAATCCCTCAACAACGGTGACAGCTCAGAAATGCAGCCGGAGGACCAGTCTGCCAGTGAGATTACGCGGTACGGACCCGTGAGCGGAGGCGCCTCCCGACACACACAGCCCCTGCGCGCGAGGGTGGCTGGCAGCATGTTGATGCCTACCCTGTCTGTGATGACGGACTGCAGAATTGTCACAGGCCCCTGCGTGTCTGTCTGCTTCGCATTCACTGTGGGGATGTGGACCTGCTTATGTTACGTGATACAAAACAGCGTGAAAACTCTTCCTTCCAGATGATAAAGGAGACTGAGTAACCCAGGGGCAGCTTACAAGTCCAAGCTCACTTGTCACTGGTTATTGGACCTAAACATCGACAGTGCGGTCCCTTTCTTGCTTGTGTTTTAGCCTGTTTTTCTCAAGTAGTGAGTCCAGAGCGGAGTAGACGGACACTGACGGTGAGATGGCGCCGGCTGGTTGGACGCCTGTGCCCCCTGCCAGGGTACACGCCCTGCAGCCGGGCTGCGGGCTTGCTCCTGCTCTGTTGGACCTGCCGCCCCTGCCCGTCCTGCCGGGCAAGGCAGGGGCCACTGAGGGGCAAGGGTCCTCAGGTTCCCTTGTGGTCTGGTAGCAGATGCCACTCTGGACCCAGTGGAAAGAGGGCGGAATGTGAGTTAGGCCAAATTCCAGTTCTACCACTTAACTCCTGGTGGTCTTGGCAGAGTTAGCGCTCACATCCCTGAGATGGAGGGAATTCCACCTTGGAGAGTAGTTCTGTAAAACAGAAATTACGTGTGAGAACAGATAACATCTAGCTTCGTGTCTGAGACCCCGTGGAGACACGTGACGGCCGCTGCTCCTCCTCTCAGGCAGAGTTAACTGTCTTTCTCCCGCTGTGCTGTTTTCCCAAAGGATGTCTCAGCTAGAGTGCTCCTCCTAGAAGCTGTGGACTTTCAGCACACGCTTGCTCCCTTTCTGCTTGCAGGGCATTCGATACCTTAGCGAAAGCACTTAACACCGCAGACAGCGCCTCGCCTCCGAGCCTGGCAGATGGGATCGACAGCGGCGGCGGTGGGGGCATCCACGTCATCAGCAGAGACCAGTCCACGCCCATCATCGAGGTCGAGGGCCCTCTCCTCTCAGACACTCACGTCACGTTTAAGGTGAGGGCTTCTACCTGCCGGCCGTGGTTAAAAACCAGACCTGGAAGTGAGCCCAGCCAGGTGGTGGCAGCCTTCTCACCCGTCTTTGCTCACCTGGCCGTCTGGCTCTGCCGCTGACCCTGGGGCGGTGTCTCCTGTCGCCGCCAAGACAGGCCGAGGCAGGCTGTCCTGCCTTCCACCCTCCCAGGACGGCCTGGCTCCAGCATCAGCTCAGACAGGCCCTTGGCTTGCACAGGCGTTGTTCCCGGCCCTTGGGCCTGCCCTCCCGCCCAATGGGGCCACAGAAAGTAGCGCTCAGATACGCTTGGAGGCTGGTCAGGTCCCCAGGGCTGCCCTCAGCACTCGCCTCCCGAGCCTCACCTCTCTCTTAAGGACACTCACTCCCAGGCTCCCTGAGCCCCCAGTCTCAAGGTCTGTAGACTGAGTCTTCAGTTCCCCAATGTTCTCCTCTAGAATGGTCTGGTCAGCCACCTAGGAACACATGAGTCCCTGCCCACAGCTGCCCAGGGGTCCAAGGGCAAGGGTCCCTGGGGGCACTCCAGCTGCAGGAGCAGTCGAGCCCTTCCAGGACAGAGGGGCTCCTTGGTCCCAGCCCGCCCCCTGGGCTCTGCTCTGCTCTCCCTCGCTGTTCCCTGAGGCCGCCTGCCGGCTGGCTCCCACTGAAGTTAGACCTGAATCCGTGGCTCGGAGTGGAAATGCTGAGAACCAGTACCGGTGCAGGGAGGAAGCGTTGGGAAGCGTGTCCTTGGGGATGAGCTGGCCCTGTCCCCCAACTCCAGACCCGTCAGACCCCAGCTCACTGGGCGGGCCCGCCCTGTGAGAGGGTCTGCGTGGGGCTGGGTGCTGACAGGCCCCGGGCCGTGTGCCCTCTCCTGCAGCTCACGATGCCCAGCCCGATGCCCGAGTACCTCAACGTGCACTACATCTGCGAGTCGGCCTCCCGCCTGCTCTTCCTCTCCATGCACTGGGCCAGGTCCATCCCCGCCTTCCAGGCCCTCGGGTGAGTGGCCCTTCCCCCTCGTGACCCTGGCAGGACCTCCCCCGCGCTAGGAACGGCTTGGGGGGGCCTCAGGGCCCCCCCAGTGTGCTCCTGTGAACAAATACAGTCAGCAGACAGGTGGCGAGAGACACCTTGGCTGCCAGGGCTCCCCCGGCCTTTACTGTGCCTCCTCGGGCATGGTGCCAGGAGCAGGGATGGAGTGGATGAAAGGCAGATGCTCCGAGGTCTTGAGGCTGGGTGGGGGCACCCCAGTTGGGAGGCTCTGAGATGACAGATGGTCTCAGGGGGCCTCACCTGCGCTGTCCTGAGTGGAGACTCCACCCCTCCCTGGCCAGCGACGTGTCTCTAGCCTTGGGGGCTCCCCTTGGTCGCTGCGGCCTCTGGAGACAGAACCACCCAGGGCTGCTGAGAGAGTAGGCTGTCCTCAGAGGGACTTTAGGCGGGCCAGTCGTGTGGACACGGGTTCGTGGAGAGCAGGCCTGAGCCCTCCAGGGGCCTCTGGCACACACACGTGGACGGGACTCGGTGGGGTCTGCAGGGCTTGGGGCAGGGGCGGCGGCCCCACGCCCAGCCCGCCTCTGTGTCCCCAGGCAGGACTGCAACACCAGCCTGGTGCGGGCCTGCTGGAACGAGCTCTTCACCCTCGGGCTGGCCCAGTGCGCCCAGGTCATGAGCCTCTCCACCATCCTGGCTGCCATCGTCAACCACCTGCAGAACAGCATCCAAGAAGGTAGGGCCGGCGCGGCCCCGGGCTATTCCTACCCACCCGCTGCTTTTCCTGTGAAGATGAAAGGCAAAAGGTGCTGAGTTGTGATGCAGACATTCAGTACTGTTTTCAGAGTAGTGACCACCTCTGTCTTCATCTTCATGGACAGGTTATCCTTTTGTGCAGCTCACAAACCCTCACGAGCCTGTGGATTAGAAACTGTTCCTCGGGGTGGCGTGTGGGAGACAGGGTCCCAGGGAGGTCCCTGCCTTGCCCTGGGGAAGCAGCGAGCGGGAGCGCTGGGCCCGGTCCACGGCCCCCTCGCGCAGGGCGTGGGTGGACGCACGGCTGTCTGTGAGGTTGGGGCGTCAGGGCTGGGAGGCAGCCTGTGGTCCCTGCGTGCCCACGGCGCCCTGAAGACTGGCAGGTGCCCGCGCTGCCCAGGGTCTCGGCTGACCCTGCGCATCACACCTGTCGCCGAGCTGGAGCCGGCCGCCCTTCCCATGGCCGTCCCGGTGTTGGAGACCAGGTGTGAGTCACCTAGTGACACCTTCGTTTTTCTAGCTACTTCCTCGGAAGTTACATAAAGGTGACTTCTGTAACCTGTAACATTTTATTGAGTTTTACATTTGTTCACAAATGAGCTTTAGTTTTCTTTCTAACTGAACATAACACTACCTTCAGCAGTATACTGTCATGAAGACTAAATCAGACAGTAGATAAAACTGTTGTAGCAACTAAAAAATGCCAAGGTGTTCAGGCAGGCACACGTTTATTCAGTGCCTGCCTCGATAGGGTCTGGCGTGTGGGCCTCAGCGCGTGCGGGCCACAGGTGCCGCCCAGGGAGAGTCGCTGTCCCAGGGCGGGGAGGGGGGTGTGACACAGCGGAGTGGAGTTGGGTGCCTGTAGCCACCTCACCTACAGCTGCAAAATGGGGCTCTTGAGATAACTGGGTTTTCATTTAAAAGTGAATTATCTCATTTTTTCCAATCTGTCCCCTCCAAGAAGCTAGCTCCCTTCCTGTTCTTCCTAGCCTTTCTCAGAGGATGTGTGTGTGGATTTCTAGATAAACTTTCTGGAGACCGGATAAAGCAGGTAATGGAGCACATCTGGAAGCTGCAGGAGTTCTGTAACACGATGGCGAGACTGGACGTGGATGGCTATGAGTACGCCTACCTCAAGGCCATCGTTCTTTTCAGCCCCGGTAAGACATGCGGTGGCCACTGGCGGCGGGTCCCCACCTGCATCTGCTGATAGCTCTGCACACGGGCCTGTTGCCCGGCTGTCAGCAGGCAGAGAGCCCTGCCACCCCGCGTGGCTGCGTGTCCCTACAGCAGGTGTGCCTGTTGACTTAACATGAGCAGGACAGTTTTTAAAGTTGTTTATATAGTAGTCCCAATGTTGTAGTAACTTCATGTGTTCAACAGATGTCATTTGAACCCTAACAAATAGGATCATTTGTATCTCATGGGCCAAATGAGACCACAACTTACAAAATTGAGTATACATTTGGCCTTTTGTATCCACGGGTTCCACTTGGGTGGATTCAACCAACTGCGAATCAGAAATACTCAAGGAAAGGGCCTCCCCTGGCCTTCCAGTGGTTGAGACTCCGAGCTCCCAGCGCAGGGTGCCCAGCTTCAGTCCCCGGTTGGGGAACCAAGTTCCTACATGCTGTGTGGCAAAAAAAAAAAAAATCCAAGGAAAAAAATGTTCCAGGAGTTCGAAAGTAATACAGAGGGGATTTTAAAGTATATGGACAGACGTGTGTAGGTTATATGCACGTTCAACGTAAAGGACATCAGCGGATCTGCTGTGCGCGGGGGTCCCAGAACCAATCCCCTGTAACTACCGAGGGACAGCTAGACAGCACCCACTGCCCTCTGCTCTGGTCTTGCTCTCCACCAAGTTTTAGGTATGTTAGCACATAGGCCAGTACAGACGGAGGCTGCACACGTTCACCCACGGTCTCTGCAGAGCAAACCGAAAGGTGTGGTCACAGCAGAGGCGGCAGCAGGACCGCAGGGAGAGAGTGGCCGCGGCCAGCCTCACTCACGGCCCCTCCTGAGAGGCCGCTGGGTTAAGTTGGACCCAGCTTAACCTCTCCACCCCACACCTCCCAGCCTCCTACTCAGGAACAGGAAAATAGCTAACAGAATGGGAGACACTACGTGATGACATGTCTAGAAAGCGGGTGGTGATTCCTGATTTCGCATGTATGTGTTTCCTAGAGTAGGGAGCAACAGGTCTAGAGCCCACCCCGGTGGGGTTGCGGAGGCTGGTGTGCCCGCTCGGGGCCAGGCCCCCCCGGGAACCTGCAGGTCTCGGCAGAGCAGACCAGAGTTCCAGCAGCAGTGTCTGACCGAGACCAGCCCCCGGAGCGCAGCCTCGCACTTGAGAAGTTTGCCAGAAGTCTGATTAGAAATAAGTACTGAGAAGTCCACACACGAGGCTTTCCGAATACAGAGGGCAACTTGGGGTACTTTTCTTCCTTCAGATCATCCAGGTTTGACCAGCACAAGCCAGATTGAAAAATTCCAAGAAAAGGCACAGATGGAGTTGCAGGACTACGTTCAGAAGACCTACTCGGAAGACACCTACCGGTGAGGCACACGGGCGAGACGGGGGCGAGGCTGGGCCTCGCTGAGGTGTCGGCTACGCGGGCCTTCCGCTTCGGGCAGCCCAGTAGAGCCTCCGTGCGATCACACGTTAAAGCTTGCGTTTTCTCGGTGACCGTGGACTGCGGAGGACCAGGAAGCCCAGGCCATCCCCGTGTTGCTGGGTGACTGTGGGCAAGACCTGCGCTTGCTCCTCTAATCTGAGGGGCTGGGAGCCGTCCTCTCCTCCGGGGCTAACAGTGTGTGTGAGGCCACCCCAAGTCCAGAAGAGTCAGCAGCTCTGAGCCTGGCTCTCCACCTGCTGAGGAGACAGTGCCAGCTGGAGCGCCTGACCGAAGAGTCCACTGACAGACTAGATCCCACCCCTACAAAGCGCGATTGGGTTGTACAAAATAGTAATTCACTCCCTGCGTAAATTGGTATTTTAAGAACTCCTTTATTCAAGTGCAACTTTATCATGTTTGGGCCACAGGAACCTGTGCCCAGCATGGCTGGCAAGAGCCTGCTCATGCTTTAGGCACGCTGCCATGGCCAGACACAGCTTTTGCCAAAGCAAGATCCATTTTCTACTAGCACCTTTTTCACTTAACATTCAGCAAGTATGTATATATTCTTTGGTCGTTTCCCGTGGCTGAGGAGATGCCGTAACCTCTCCATCATTTCCCTCCTGATGAAAGTGCCCTGCAGTAGTGTCCCGGCGCCCACCCCTCTGGGCGCTGCCTGTGGACTGGCCCGTCCAGGTTGCCGCAGGACAGGGCCGTGCTGTGCCCTCCTGGGGTTCCTTCAGAATAAACATCTCACTGCATCCCTTTTAATTATAATGCTAAATGAACACTGGAAATTAGAGCAGCACAGAAAAAGTTTTGATAAAATCACTTAAAATCCCAATACCCAGAGGTCAACAGTTAGCACTTTTGTGACTGTCCTTCTGAATACTTTATTTACACACACATCCAAATGTTATTCGTGCTGGTGCACATCCTGCTTTTAAGTTTTTATTCAGCTGTGTATCATGGAATTCTTATCAGTGAATACAGACTTTCTCCTCAATGTGTGTAGTGATTTGACACATTAGTTTAACCTACCTTCCATTACCAAGTTTCCAGGTTTTTCTTTTTGGTGGGCTTGGGAAGAGTTGTTAGAAACGAAGGGAACACATTGGTACGTGATCACTGCACTCATCACAGATTTCTACAGGAGCAACTACCGAAACGAGGGAAGCACGAGGGGACAGTGGGGGCTGGGTTCGGTCTCGAGGGCTGCAGACAGGCCCTGTCTGGGGGAAGCCTCGAGTGCCGCGGCCCCGCCCCCTCTAACAGCCCCCTCTTGCAGGTTGGCCCGCATTCTCGTCCGCCTGCCGGCACTCAGGCTGATGAGTTCCAGCGTAACGGAAGAGCTGTTCTTCACTGGCCTCATCGGCAATGTTTCGATAGACAGCATCATCCCCTACATCCTCAAGATGGAGACGGCGGAGTATAACGGCCAGATCACCGGAGCCAGCCTATAGCGCAGGGCCCGCCCCGCCGAGGCGCGCCGGCCACCGGGCCGCTCAGACAGACGGTGGAGTAGGTGTTTTATGTGCAAGCACTCCAGCGCCTTCGCTGCCCGCTGGCTTCGCCCAGACAGTAGCCACTCAGACTAGTAGGTCCTCTCCCGCCGCGAGAAATGTTTTAACGCCTTTTGATGGAGCAACAGATTTTGAAACAGTCTTTTATCTCAGTTTGTATCCAGAAATTCTCAAAGGGCAAAAAACAAAAGCAAAGTTTTATAATGTCAGAGACTAGTATTAAAACTAAAAGAACCTAAGAGAACGGTATGTGTGTATATATTAAAATGTCCTTGGAATAGCTACTAATTACCAGGGTAATAATACTAGCACTTTCTAAGCACTTCTTATCAATGTATAATGCTAGCAACACCTTGCCAGTGTGCAGGGCAGATGGAAAACTGTGTCTGTCTTTTGCCGAAATGCTAATGGTTTCTGTGAAAATGCAGTAGGGTACAGGAGACAATCAGTTACGCTTAAGGAAGCGAGGCATCATTCCTGACCGTGCGCACACGCTGCTGGTGTCGAGCCGAGTCCCGCGAGTGCGGCGGCACACGCGTGCTGGTCTGAACGGGAAGCTTCCTCGCCCGAGCAGATGCTGACTGCATTCCCTGGTCTGTGATGGGCCTCCGCGGGCTCCTCTGTGACTGGTTCTCAGAACTGGATTCAACCACCAATTCCTGCGGCAACTGAAAACACCGCTGCATCACCTCTGCCGCTCATGGCAGATAGAGTGGTCTTCCCAGCAAGTGCAAGGTGGGCCTTCTGAACCCTTGTCGGGGCCTCCCACCCACATGTCTTCGGGGGAGGGCCGGGAGGGCTGTGATACCCACGGTGGAGCCACGCGGCGCGCCTCTCTTCGTCTCCAGGCCCAGCACCACCTCGGGCCGTGGGCTTCTCAATGGTCCTGGCGCGGCACACTGGGGTCCCCTGGGGCTGCGTCCGCAGATGACCCCTGGAGTGTTTTAGATGATGGATCAAAGGCAGGCTGCCTTCTCCTTAAAAACAACCTTTAACTCCAAAGTCATCTTAGTGACCGTCATTTTATTGAAACAATGCAGTTACTGGGAAGTTTACCTAGATGAAAGTGCTCATAAATCCCCCTGGTTGTAAGCAAGCAGCAGATTTCTACTGGGAAGCGTAGCAAGGCTGCATCAGGTGTCCACACCTCCTGTGTGGCCCAGACTAAGGAAGTGCAGCGAGGCCAGGTTTGCGTCTCTTAAAGCTTTGGATCAGATGGTACCTCCTAGGCCCAGGGCAGACGAGCAGCCGGGTCACCGCATGGGCCTGTGGCAGGACCAGACGGCGCACCGTCGCTGTCGGGAGCACTTTGAGTCATTAGTGGGAACTAAGTGGGAACAGTGTCTCCAGTTTAGATATTCTTGTTTGTATCAATTATATCATTTACTGTTCATGCTTTAAAGCACATCTTAGAGAAAATGTAGTGCCCATTGTAAAATGATAGAAAGGATTTAATATTGACAGCTTACAATTTTGGTTTTCTAACTTCAAAGTGACTTAAGTTTCAAAATTAAGATAGGAAACTGGCCAAGAGGATGACCAAGGTGGGTCTGTTTCATTTCTGCTTGGGAAGCATTTTCGCAGAGGCATTCTGAAGCATTTGTGTACATCTTACATAGTGAGGTGCACATTTGTCTGTTCTGATTTTCGATGTAAGCATGTCTGAGGCTCCTCTAGCAGCTCCCTGGAAACACACATCGTCTTGTGTCACATCTTTCAGGTCTGAGTGCTCTGTGATGGTGAGAAGGTCAACACTGTCCTGCTCTCTGGGGCATCGTCCTGTGTCTGTGAGGCCTTTACATTCAGGTGGCCTTAGGTATTGGGGCAGCTTAGCCAAGACCTGGGCCGAGGTGCTGTTGAGACAGGCTGGGAGTAGAAGGTGGGGCCGGTGGAGAGACAGGGAACACTGGGACAGGCACGTGCCCCGCACCCGCAGGACGCCCTGGGAGAAACGCCGCTTTTACGCGGGTCCTGCGCCCGGGTCCCAACACTGCTGATGGCTGACTCCAGTGGGCCACTCTGGGCTTTGAGCACCCCTCTTCCGTGCCCCAGACCGCTCTGGCCTTACTCTGAAGTGGCCTTTTCCTTAAAGATTGGCTCCACACTACCAGAATTCTCACCGCCCCCCATCATCTCAAACCTTTGACAGCAGGCTCATCCCTCTCCTGTCAAAGTGGCTGAGAGGAGCCCAAAAGTCAAAAATTATCTAGAGAGACTGGAAGCAAATACTTAACCTGAACTTTCACAGGGCTCTTCACCCTTTAGTGGTTTGTGAGACTGGTTCGGGGAGGGGAGAGCGGCCTCTGCATCTGAGTGAAACAGCCAGGATGGAGTTCTTGGCGGCCCGTTGACACCCGCCGTCTGGGGGCCCCGCCGCAGAGCAGAGGGGACGAATGCCTGTGAGGAAGGTGAGGATGGATGCACGGTGATGCTTCCTGAGGAAGCGGGCTCTGCTCCAGGGGCGTTTCAGATGGTGGGGACAGTTACATGTTGAAATGTGTGGAGTTTACTACAAGTTCATTACATAACAAGACGACATAGAGAAAGACCAAATTACTAAAGCAGGCATTTTCCAAGGTATTCCTGGAAATATTTTTAAGGAAGTGTGTTACTGCCCTTCTGGTTTTGAGAGAGGTGTGTGTGGTTTTGTTTTTTTTTTTTTTTTTGGCGGGGGGGGGGGGCGGGCGGCGGGGGGTGGCTACATTATTTATTCTCTAACCTCTGCCAGGAGGCTGTGGTCAGGGTCCTTTTGTGGTCCGGGTTTTTGTATCTGGTCTCACGTGCAGTCACTCTTAGGTGTTCTATGATCACCCTTGAGAGGGACTGGTCTCTGGCCTGTCAGTATTAAATGTGGACTCTGGCGAGGGTCGTGGTGGCAGAGCCAAACACTCACCAGGCGCTCGCGGCATCTCCTGCTTCTGTTCTGGCCCTCTGGGCAAACGCCCAGCAGAGCAGTCTTGCTTCCACCCTGCCCTCTGCCTGACAGGCAGCCCGTGGCTGAGGACCCAGCTTCCAGGGCCTGAGGACAGACGGGAGCCTGGGAGCATCCTGCCCATTTTCCAGGGGAAGTGGCCTTACGTGCATGGGGCTCCAGGTGACATTTCAGCTCTCCTGAGTCCAGGGAAGGTGGCATCTTCTGATGCGCGCATCTCGACTTTGGAGGCTGCTGCCCTCCGAACCCCGGAGGGCCCGACAATCTGGGCAGCCACCCACGCCCTCCAGTGTCCCACTTCCCTGCTCCACTGGTTGTGCGACTCTTAGAAAATGTATTAACTCTGATGCAGATTTGCAGAGTCAGCCTCTCCTCACAACAGAGTGGTCTGAGTCTTTGTACACAGGGTCCTGGGCTTCCTCACCCGTGCCTCCTGCTAACGGGCACTTGTGTGTGTCCAGCCCTGGGGTCCCTTCAGCGACGCTCTGCGTGCACAGGTTTATAGGCTTGTATGACTGACTGAATGTACATGTGTTTATACCTTCTCTGTATGTACAGTGTATATAGCATATGTGTACATAGATGTATATTATGTATACAGACACGTAGCCAGCCTTCCCTTACGTTTTACAGAGAATCTATGATAGAGTTGCTACAGTCATTGACGTGGGTGTTCCTTGGTCCCTGAGCAGAAGGATGGATTTGCTGGCATTTTCCTTGGGGTGAGCCTGGCTGGGAAAGGCCCCGCCCTCCGCCAGGGCCAGGAAGCTGGAACACATTAGTTTATCCCAATGTCCAAAACGAGGTGGGGATCTTTAACCTCGTTGTTATCTATCTGTTTATGGCCTAACTGGGAGGACCTTGGTAGGTAGCGGTGTTGGCCTCCCACATAACCGAGAGCAGGCTGTGTGGTGGGCCCTGGCCCCCGGTGCGGTGGAAGCAGCCCACGCGTGCTCTGGGACTCAGCAGACAGTGAGAGCCGCCTCTGACCATCTCTCTACCACAGCTGCAAAACAAGTATTCTTTAAAAATAAGCATGAATGTTGATGGCTAACTCCTATGGCATATAAATTACAGATCTTTTATTTCTCTAACTGTAGCATGTGAATAAAATTCACCGCCCTTATTCCTTTCTATAAATTATGATTCTAAAATTTTTAAATTTCATATAAAAACTGCATTCTAGTACATACGTATACCTTAATGCTACAGATGCCAAATTTCCCTTGTCCAAGTCTGTTCTGATGAATTCTCCCCATTAATCGAGCTTTAAGCTGAGACACCGCACTTGGGAGCCAGGGCCCAGCAATAGTTGCCCACGCACCTGTAAGCAGGAGACCTGAATGGTGGGAAGGTTGAAAGCTGGCCTGCTGAAAGAAATCACCGGATAAGTATGAAAACTCAGACACCACAGGTTACTTTAAAAAAGAAAAATCTAAGCTTATTGAAATGTTTGGAAACAGCTCATTGAGACCACAGTCCTCAGTGCCTTTTGTGAGACGGTGGGTGTGCAGCCTCCGGCTTCCCGTGGCTTTGATGTGACGAAGCTCCTGCTACTTCAGTGGCCTCACCCACAGTGGTGGTTGGACCTTTCCCACATCCTTACCTGTCGTGACAATCACACTATAGAAGGGGGCTCTCCAGTTAAAATACAAGTGGAAGCTTGGCAGTCTCTAAGTGAATCTTTAGAAGTTCTCCTTGGGGCTATTTACCTTAACTAGTCTAGGAGTAAACTCTCAGTTTTAAGAGTATTTTAGGGGTGAAGAATGTCTGAGATACGCTAGGAAAAAAGGCTCAGCAATATTTATCGATTGACAGACCGTGATAAAGCGTAACACTTGGGTAACATTTGGAAGTGTGTAAAAAATGGCTTTTCTTTAGAGAGAGTGTCATCAATTATTTTAACAACCAGAGCACTCACGGACTCAAATGCTGCTGCCACACACAACTCAAGAGCTGGAGTATTTTTCTACAGTCTCTCCATTCTCCCAGTTATCTTGTGAACCAGTGTTCAACTAGTTTTATACCTGAAAGCTGCACATTTTTCATAGTACAAACCATAGTTTTTACCTGTAGTTCAGAGCTCTCTGTTAAAATGTACCTGCATTACCAACCCTTTTAAAAGAAGTGTGTTAAAGGAAAATTTGGGTGTTACTTTCTTGGGACCGTTTCTGTAACCTCTGCCCTTCACAATATAGAATATATTGTTTATGCCATCACATTTTAATTCCAGGTTTAAAATCTGTTGAAAGCTGTAGCTTGAAATCAGCTTTGTTTATGTGATGGCATTTAAAAAATAGCATGTTCTTTTTAAACTGAATTTTATATCTAATCAATGTCTTCAGTCTTGAAGAAGAATTTGCATTGTTGTGTTTGTATATAGAGTATTGCAGTGCATGAATTAGCTTTATGCATTTTATTAAATGCTGTTTCAATGTGGCATTATTGTTGTGGCTTAATACTACTACCTAAATGAGGTTTATACTATTAAAGCGAATTAAAAACTAGTAATGTACATCCTGCTTTTCATTTCTCCTCATAATGGTAATAACATCAGTAACCCTGAACCCCAAGTAGTTGGCCAGGAGGCACCTGGTTGCCAGAACGGTACAGCTCTCACCCCTCCGTGTTCGATGGTCTACGGCGTTATAAGTACCTTTGAGGGAAGCGTTGGCGAGGCCCTCTCCTCTGAGTCTTCCAGAAGCCACACGCGCCTTTCTGGAACAGAACACAGCCTGTGCCGCCGGATGCACAGACGCGCAGAACCAGGCTTCCTGGAAGGGTGTCTGCTATCCAGGGGGTAAAAAACTACCCCTGGCTTGTTTTAACAGGTGAGGATGCTGAGATCCGATCAAACTCATGGCAGAAACCACTGGCGGCCGGGTGATAGCTTTAAATGGCTTTGCCAAGTAGACGTCAAAATGGAACTCAAACGGGTTATACTTCTGGAGAACAAGGCCAAAGACCATCTAGTGAACACTACTTATGCAAATTAAACTATATCCATTATGAAAGCCTCATAGCAATCTTCTCTTAGCATCGCTTCCGATTTCTGCACATTTTAAACCCATCTTTTTGTCCCTATTAAAGTAGGAAATAAGAGGAGAGAATAATGCCCCCAGCAGTGCTGATTCAGTCTGTTACCTGCTGCCTACCAGACAGCCCAGGAGAACAGCAGCGCCTTCCCGTGAGCCGCTGGACACCATTCTCTAGAGAGGGGTCCGCACCTACCTTGATTCCAGGGGGCCCTCCTACTTCGCAGCCGCCTTAGGGCGCCCTTGTGGCCCATGGAGGGAAAGGCTGTCTCACTGCGCTCTGGAGACCGAGGGGAAGGGAACCCACTCTCTGACAAGCCCAGCCGGCCTTGTCCTGAACCACACTCAGCGGGTGTGGTATCAGAAACAGGGCGGGACCGAGACCCCCGCCCCCCGGGACAGGCTTTCCCCTCCAGGGCGGCGGCGGGGGAGGGCGCCGAGGGGTTGGGTTCCAGTGAAACCACCCCAGCGGTAAGCCTGTGGCCATGCAGGAACCTGCCCATTCCTCCCCAGACCCGCACATGTAGACCGTCTCCCTGAAGGCGGGTTTGGTACAAAATCACAGTAAATCATCACCCAAGCATCAAACGTGACGAGCGCCAAACTTCTATTCTGAGATAAATTTGCAACGTTTATACACAACATCTCGCGGCGCGCTCGGGGCCAGCCCAGGCCCTGTCCCCTGAGGCCTGAAACCAACACGACCAGAGCGCAGGCGGCCTCGGCGTCCAGTGAGGAAAGGGCGCAGAGCCGCGTCCAGCGAGGAAGGGGCGCAGAGCCGCGTCCAGCGAGGAAGGGGCGCAGAGCCGCGCCCAGCGAGGAAGGGGCGCAGAGCCGCGCCCAGCGAGGAAGGGGCGCAGAGCCGCGCCCAGCGAGGAAGGGGCGCAGAGCCGGTGGCGTCGCTCCCCTCCCGGAGCGCCGAGCGCGCCCGCGGCGGGCCCGCCTGACCGCGCAGGAGGGGGGCCTGCGGGTCTCGCACAGCCGCGCCCGGAGCTCAGGGGCGTCAGCGAAATGGGCTCGCCCCCGGGTTCTGAGGAGGCCCCGCCGTCCTGCCTGGCGGGGCCGCGCGCGCCCGAGCCCTGCGATGCGTGTCTCGGGGCTGCGGCCTAGCCCCCTCCCGGCCCTGAAGCCCCGTCCCCGCCGAAGGCCCAGGGCGTTCACTGAGCAGCTTGGCTGCAGCCCAACCCCCGCGCAATGTGCTTTCACACACGTGTGTAAAGGGGACCCTTTATTGCAAAGTGGTGGTCAGTCTCTCGGGGCACAGAAGCGGGGCTCTCGGGGCCTCAGTCCTGGGCGCCGGCTCTCAGGGCGGCCTGGAACTTGCCGGTCAGCTCCCGGGGCAGCGGCACCACGGCCGGGCAGGGCACCTGACCCTCCACCTCGCAGATGCACTCCCGCAGGCAGTACTTCCGGGGTCCGAAGTGCGCCGGGTGGGAGAGCTGCTCGCGCTCCTGCTGCTCCCTCCGGAGGGTCTCCCTGCGGACAGCAGAGCGCAGGAGGCGTGGGCGCCGAGCCTGGACCCCGTGCAGTGAGCCCCGCCCTGCGCCCCGGGGCCCCGCGCCCCAGGCCGCGGAGGAGGGCGCGCAGGAAGGCTGCAGGCGAGCGAGCGGGCGGGACAGAGGGGCCTCGGTGCGCCGGTCAGGACAGCTCTGCCCCCATCCCTCGCTCCTCTCGGAACAAAAGGGACGCGGCACAGCAGGCCTGGGGCCGCTCACCACTAGGTCCCACCTGAGAGGCCCCAGGAGGGACACGGTCACAGCCACCAGGGCAGGGGTCTCAGAGGTTTCTCAGCCCCCTGCGGACCCAGGAGGAAGGGCCTCCGGCTGCCCTCTCGACACCCCTCCCGACCGCCTGTCTCCTCCGGCCACTGGACCTCTGGAGGTCCCCTGCACCCCTCCAAGGCCAGCCCAGCGACTCACTCGTTCTTCCCCAGGATCTTCTTGACGTGCTCCATGATCTCCTTGTTGCTCTTGGTCTCCACGTCCACGAGCACTTGCTCCCCGGAATCTGGAGCAGGAGGGGAAGGAAACAGGGGGGGGGGGCGCTAAGAAGGCGGCAGGACGCCGCTCAGTCTCCACTAGTGCTGGACGGGGGCTGTGCTTCAGTGGAGAATTCTAGCAGTGAAGCAGGTGTTTTACATAACCCACAATGCAGCCTTTTTCCATTTCTGTACTTGTGAACACAGATGAACTTCAGGTATGTACAAAAGCATTGATTCTCTTTTAAAGGAAACAACCTCCACGTTCATGGATAGGAAGATTTAATATTGTTAAGATGGCAGTCCTAGCCAAGTCAGTCTATGGATTCACTCCATCCCTCTCCAAATCTTAGCAGATGTTTTTGTAGAAGGTGAAAAACTTAGACTTAAATTCACGCAAAGGACCCAAAATAGCCAAAACAACTCTGACCAACCCGAAAATAGGAAAACATTCCACTTTCCAGGTTCAGCTTTACTGCAGGCTACAGTATGGGCTTGCCAGGTGGCGCAGTGGTAAAGAATTCTCCTGCCGACGCAGGAGACACAAGAGACGGGGGTTCAACTCCTAGGTCAGGAATATCCCCGTGAATAGGAAATGGCAGCCTGCTCCAGTATTCCTGCCTGGAAAATTTCATGGGCAGAGGAGCAGGGCGGGCCTCACAGCCCCTAGGGTCCCAAAGAGTCAGACATGACTGAGTGTACGCACACACACACACCCCCATAGGCTACATAATCAAGTCAGTGTGGTATGAGCGCAAGAACAGACTATAGAACCAAACTGAGTCCAGAACTAAACATGAAATTTACCGTCTACTTTTCAGCAAAGATGGCAAGACAACTCCATGAGAAAGAAGAACATCTGATAAAAGACCTGTTTTCCGACTAAAGAACACTTACAAACAATCCAAAGGAAAAATGGGCTTAAATACCTGAATAAACAACAATAATTAAATGTCTGAATTTAACAAGAAAAATGGATAATAAGCACATGAAAAGATACTCAATATCAGTCATTAGAAAAATACAAAATAAAATCACAGTGAGATATTAAGGTGGCTAATTTTTTTTTTTAAAACACAATACCAAGTGTTAGGATGCAGAGTAACACTCAAAACTTTCCGGACTTACTGGTAAAAATGCAAAAATATTACAGCCATGTCAGACAGGTAATTAGGACACACAAAAAAGATTGGAAAGAAGTAAAACTCTCTTTGCAGAAGGAATGATTATGTAGAAAATCTTAAGGAATTTAGCAAATAAAAACTACTAGAAATGTGAATTATCAGGGTTACAAGACACAAGACCCATGTATAAAATGAGCAGTACTTCTATAAGGCTGTGTGATGCTAACCAAAGAACAGAAAAATGAAGCTTTAAAAAATGATGGGAAGAGTTGACTCATTTGAAGAGACCCTGATGCTGGGAAGGATTAGGGGCAGGAGGAGCAGGGGACGACAGAGGATGAGATGGCTGGATGGCATCACTGACTCGATGGACATGAGTTTGGGTGAACTCCGGGAGTTGGTGATGGACAGGGAGACCTGGCGTGCTGCGATTCATGGGGTCGCAGAGTCAGACATGACTGAGCGACTGAACTGAATATTTACAGAAAACATACTCAATACTATTAAAATGTCCATTATCCTCAGTGATCTATAGTGTAATTCTGATCAAAATCCCAGCAAGCTTTTCCCTAGAAACTGGTAAGCAAATTTTAAAGTTAATATGGAAATGCAAAGAACCTACAAGGGCCAACTTTAATCGTTGGGGAGAAAGAAAGGGCGGGGGACAAAGTTGGACGTACACTACCTGCTCTTCACACAGATTTTAAACAGACAAAAGCCAGTGCGGTGTGCTGTCAGCGTGAGGACAGACACAGATCAGTTAGAGAGGGCGAAGAGTCAGAAGCTCGAACAGCCAAAACGATCTCAGAGAGAAACAGCTCAAGGAACCACGCTCTCTGACTTGAGACTGCACCAGAAAGCTGCGGCGTTCCAAACTGCAAGATACTGGCGCAAAAGCAGACACAGATGAGTGGAGCACAGAAGGGACACCAGAAACGCAGCTGCACAAACCACCACCAAGGACGTGCGAGCGCACAGCGGAGAAGAGACGCTCCCTGCAGTGAGCGGCTCCAAGACGCTGGAGAGCGGCGGGTAGGAGAGTGCAATCAGAACGCTTTCTAACACCATCTACAGAGATAAACTCAACATGCATCAAAGGCCTAAGACCAGCTACCACAAAATTCCTAAAAGAAATAAATACGAAATAAATGTCAGCAGTATTTTCTTTTTTTGATCTGCTAAAACAAAGCAAAAATAAACAAATGGGGAACCTCTTTGGCGGTCCAGAGGTTAAGAATCTGCCTTGCAAGTCAGGGGCCATGGATCTGATCCCTGGCTGAGGAACTAAGATCCCTCCCGCGTGCTGCGGAACAGCTAAGCCCGAGTACCGCAACTACAGAGCCTGCATGCTGCAGCTGAGACCCGATGTAGCCAAGCACATACATACTTGTTTAAAAACTAAAAACACATGAGTCTGAGCAAGCTCCGGGAGTTGGTCATGGACAGGGAAGCCTGGCGTGCAGCAGTCCATGGGGTCACAAAGAATTGGACACGCCTGAGTGACTGAACTGAACTGAACAACAAATGGGACCTAGTTGAACTTAAAAGCTTTGGACCCAGCAAACCAGAAAACAAAAAGACAAGCTTTAACGTGGGGAAACTAGTGACAAATGATACGATAACGGGTTAACATCCAACATATATATACAGTTCACACAACTTGGTATCAAAAATAAAAGCTGTAAAAAAATGGGCAGAAGAACTGACATCTTTCCAAAAGGAAATGCATATGACCAACAGGCACAGAGAAAGATTCTAAGACAATCTCCAGGGAAATGCAAATCAGAACCACAATTAAGATATCACCTCCCATTTGTCAGAGCGGCTATCATCAGAGAGACCCCATGTCCAAGAGTTGGCAAGGATGTGAGAAAATGATGTGAGCCACTGACTGTGGCTCAGATCATGAACTCCTTATTGCAAAATTCAGACTTAAATTGAAGACAGTAGGGAAAAGCCACTAGACCATTTGTGTATAACCTAAGCCCTTATGATTTCCCTTATGATTATAGACTGGAGGTGATGAGTAGATTGAAGGGATTAGCTCTGGGAGAACTATGAATAGAGGCTCGTAACACTGTACAAGGAGGTAGTGATCAAACACATCCCCAAGAAAAAGAAATGCAAGAAGGCAAAGCGGCTGTCGGAGGAGACCTTAGAAATAGCTGAGAAAAGAGAAGCAAAAGGCAAAGGAGAGAGGTAACGGTATACCCAACTGAATGCAGAGCTCCAAAGAATACCAAGGGGAGATAAGAAAGCCTTTTTAAGTGAAAATGCGAAGAAATAGACAAAAACAATAGACAGGGAAAGACTAGAGATCTCCAAGAAAATTGAAGATAGCAAGGCAATGTTTCATGCAAAGATGGGCACGATAAAGGACAGGAATGGTAAGGACCTAACAGAAGCAGAAGAGATTAAGAAGAGGTGGTGAGAATCCACAGGAGAACTGTACAAAAAGGTCTTAATGACCCGGAAAACCACAATGGCATGATCGCTCACCTAGAGTCAGACATCCTGGACTGTGAAGTCAAGTGGGCCTTAGGAAGCATCTTTGTTTGCTAGTGGAAGTGATGGAATTCTAACTAAGCTATTTAAAAAGACAATGCTGTTAAAGTGCTGCATCTAATATGCCAGCAAATTTGGAAACTCAGCAGTGGCCGCAAGACTGGAAAATATCAGTTTTCATTCCAATCCCAGAGAAGTACAAAGCCAAAGAATGTTCAAACTACTATACAATCATGCTCATTTCACACACTAGCAAGATAATGCTCAAAATCATTCAAGCTAGAGTTCAACAAATACATGAACCAAGAACTTCAAGCTGTGAACCAAGACGTATAAGCTAGATTTAGAAAAGGAAGAGGAAGCAGAGACCAAATGGCCAACATACATTGGATCATAGAGAAAGCAAGAGAATTTAAAAAAAAAAAAATCTACTTCTGTTTCATTGACTATGCTAAAGCCTTTGACTGTGTGGATCACAACAAACTGTGGAAAATTCTTCAAGAGATGGGAATGCCAGACCACCTTACCTGCCTCCTGAGAGACCTGTATGCAGGACAAGAAGCAACAGTTAGAACTGGACATGGAATGGACCAGTTCAAAACTGGGAAATGAGTACGTTCTAGGCTGTATATTGTCACCCTGCTTATTTAACTTATATGAAGAGTATATCATGTGAAATGACAGGCTGGATGAATCACACGCTGGATGAATCACACGCTGGAATTCAGTCCGTTCAGTCGCTCAGTCATGTCTGACTCTGCGACCCCATGAATCGCAGCAGTCCAGGCCTCCCTGTCCATCACCAACTCCTGGAGTTTACCCAAACTCATGTCCATCGAGTCGGTGATGCCATCCAGCCATCTCATCCTCTGTCATCCCCTTCTCCTCCTGCCCCGAATCCCTCCCAGCATCAGGGTCTTTTCCAATGAGTCAACTCTTCGCATGAGGTGGCCAAAGTATTGGAGTTTCAGCTTCAGCATCAGTCCTTCCAATGAATATTCAGGACTGATCTCCTTTCGGATGGACTGGTTGGAACTCCTTGCAGTCCAAGGGACTCTCAAGAGTCTTCTCCAACACCACAGTTCAAAAGCATCAATTCTTCGGGGCTCAGCTTTCTTCACAGTCCAACTCTCACATCCATACATGACCACTGGAATAAACATAGCCTTGATTAGATGGACCTTTGTTGGCAAAGTAATGTCTCTGCTTTTCAATATGCTGTCTAGGTTGGTCATAACTTTCCTTCTAAGGAGTGTCTTTTAATTTCATGGCTGTAATCACCATCTTCAGTGATTTTGGAACCCCAAAAAATAAAGTCTGACACTGTTTCCACTGTTTCCCCATCTATTTCCCATGAAGTGATGGGACCAGATGCCATGATCTTAGTTTTCTGAATGTTG